ATATATAGATATATATATATATAGATATATATATATATAGATATATATATATATAGATATATAGATATATATAGATATATAGATATATATATATATAGATATATATATATATATAGATATATATATATATAGATAGAGATATATATAGATAGAGATATATATAGATAGAGATATATATAGATAGAGATATATATAGATATATATTGGCAGAAATGGAATATAATTTTCATAACTATGTTTTAAATTTATTAACTGTAAATAAAAAGACCCAGAAACATGAAGGGGCATATTTCAGCCCCAAGTTGTGCCTGAAGTCTTCTATTGTTGAGTGTCCCAACATTTTGATCATTTTTTCTCTTCTCTAATCAAGACTATTATACTTTGTTCAGTCATTTTAGTAACAAAATCAACCATAAACTGTAATAGTGAGGGGGACATGTCTCCCAGATGCTTAGTGTAAATGACGCTCTCAGGCATGTGAATTTATGGACAGCTGTTGAGTGTCTTAGCCGGTTCTGTCTTAGCGGGCACTAAGTGACCGACTATAGACAGTTCTACTCTGAAGACAGGAAATTGCCTACCTCTCCAGGTCGCTGTGCGGCAGAAGGTCGTAGCAGCCTTCCGTGTAGTCGTTCTGTAGCGCCTGGCGGTCGGGGAAGTAGTCGGTGGTGAGGGGCAGGCAGGCCGGGGTGGTCAGAGACTTCCAGTCCACACCCACTGTGCAGCAGAAGCTGGGCACTGTGGGGGGCGCAGACAGCAGCAGGGCTTCAGGAGCACCCACACCACACACACGCACACACACGCAGACAAAAAAAATCCCCACAACAAAGACAAATGCATGTACCCAGAGTGGAAAGGTACATGTGTGTGTGTGTGTGTGGGGGGGGAGATATACAGAGGAAGGGGAAGCACAGAGGGATGATAAGAAAAGAGAGGAAGGGAGAGGATGAAGACATGAAGATGGAAAATAAGGAGTGAAAATGACGATACAAACAAACAGACAAAAAGAAAGTAGAAGAGAGGGGAAGAAAAAACAGAACGTGTTACTTTTACTGGCCTTGTCGCCCCCTGCTGGTGATTCCTGAGGGCCTGTGGTTGTAGAGCAGTGATCAGACATGCAGATTGTGGCCCTGTGACAGTCTGTGATCGCCATCACTCACAAGGAAGAAGTGAAAAATGTGCCCTGAGCTCAGCAAAGGTGTGAACTGTGACTGTGAGTGAATTTAAGCAGAGAAATCACAACGTGCAAACATACATAGAGAGCGCAAACTCTTAAATACTGTGTGCGAGAGACTTGTTCGATAGATGCACCAATTTACAGTCAATCAAGAGAAATGTACTTTGCATACCGCCATGCAGGAATGAGATATACAAGGCTTTTTGAGTGCAAACAGGTCATGGTGAAGGAAAATGATGGCAGGGCTAATTAATCGGAGGAATTTAATATTTCATCATGAGAATTAAGATCAACAGAAGGCCCAGAGAAATAGAAAGAAAAGAGTGGGACAGAGACAGTGAGGATACAGAGGGAGGAGGAGGGGAAACCCCAAACCACATGACCTGTAAGAGTCCTTTATACCTGCGACCGCTGGAGACAGACGCCCAGAGAAACCTGCCTGCCAAAGCTGAATAAGCCCTCACAGGTCAAAGACACCTCTGAAGGTTTATTGGCATTATCAGTTAGGTGATTTAGACCATCAACCCGATCCTGAGGTATGGCTGCATGACAATGTTTGACGACTTAGCGATTGACACGTTTTCGTTTTTGTTTGGGAAAGATGGACTCACTTGGATCGGCACCACTGATGGAAAAGTCTTGAAATGTGGAGCCGCGGTTGGTGAGAGTTCCTGTACAGACATTACAGTATCTTAATGTATTAAGATGTATTGTTGAAACCCAAAGATATTTCATTTACTATCATGTATGAGAAAGGAAAGCAGCAAATCCTCATGTTTGAGAAGATGAAACCTGAACATTTCTGGCCTTTTTGCTTAAGAAATGACTGAAACAATTGATCTTCAATACTTCATTGAAAAAGCGACTAAGACGCTGATGTGCAACACTGTTTCAGGAGAACAGTGTTTTTGAGTAGACTTATCACCACTGTTGTTGCTCCCTGGACTTCCAGTCAACTCTTCCATCCCTCCTCCAACGTAAAGGCCGTTCTCTCCTGCATGCCTAGAGGCCGTTCGCCTGAAACAAAGAGATAAATAACGAGCATTCATCTCATCGTCTGTGCTTCAAGATACATTTCTGTACAAGGAAAACTTTTGTTTAGTGGTAGGTGTCTAACCTTCCAGTGGCCTCATGATAGGCCAGCTCCAGCAGCTCAGCGGAGGTGTGGGCGGGATCTCTCTGCTGGCTGCCCTGCAGTTCGGCCATGTTCTGTCTGGTCTGGTGATGGATCTGGATTGCTTCTCCAGAAGGACCTGAAGAACAACAGTGCACCTACAGTCTGATGCTTGAATAACCGCCAGCATTGCAGTGTTCATTTGATTCACAGATTTCCATTAGCTTTTGATCGTTCTTGTGTGGCAGTGTTAAGTTGTGATGGTGGCACTCAAGAGATCAGGTTAGGGTTAGGTCTGTCAAGTCTGAAGGCTTGGAAAAATCTGCAATTTGCTGAAATGTCAAACACATTCTCATTAACGTATAAATGTATGAATCTAAATGCTCTACAAAACTATAATATAATATAGTGATATAGTACTTTTTCGAGAGATTGAATTAAGAAATAATATGAAGTAGATCGAACACTTAGATATTAATTAGGAATTAGAACTGTGATATTCTTATTCCAGTATGAACAGGAGGAACGGTTTTACATACATATGGGTATGCAAGCATTGTTTTAAGACAGACTTAAATTGTGAACCCATCCTTTAATGACCTTGAAAACACAAAACTAAGACATATCTCAATATTACAATAACTAAATCCCAGAAATTAATTCATATATCACACGCTATACTCAAATTTTACTCACTTATATCTAAAATACAAATACTATAGTTCGTCAGTTTATTTGGTTTATCTAGTTCAAACAAATGTATTCTAATAAAGCTGTCCTGCAATATATTCTACCTTCTAGATCAGTGGTTCTCAACTAGTCTGGCTGCGGGACCCACCATCACCCCTTAATGACAAGCCGCGACCCAAATCGAGGAACATTTTCAACTTCTCAAATGTCTTTAATGAAAAGATGGTGCAGTGAAATTGTTCCTGTCAGTCCTCGTCCCACACATGTTTCACGTAAACGAGTAAAACTGCTTTGTTTGTGATGTCTGCAGATTCGTCCATTTGTAATGCAAAATGACCACTTGCCTAAATTCGAGCTGTGGTCTGTAGTTTGATGTCATCCGACATGTCTTCAATTCGCCTACTTATAGTGTCATTTGACAGAGGTGTAGTTTTCAGTTTATCCCCTGCTGATATTAGCATTACAAGGCATTAACGCCAAATATTGTTAAGAAGTGTGAATAGACGGCTCTCTGCTGCATAAAAAATCCCCTTCAAAATAAAAGCACAGGATTTTTTCTTCATTTTTTTCAGGCAAAGGCCCGCGATCCACTTTTGGGTCGCGACCCACCAGTTGAGAATCACTGTTCTAGATGACCGAATAATGTTACAATGTTTGGGTTTTTGTTGACATTGTTTGAGGGAAAAATATACGATTGCTTTGGAGGCTGCAGTTTTGTGGTTCCGCTGAAATTTACCCACCTATATCAATGAGTATAAGTTAAATACCACCTCTCTGTCTAATGCAATACAGTTCAACGCCACAAACTACATCATTCAAAGTGATCATAAATACAAGAATACCAACTCACACATTTACTAGGTTCACCAAATTACTAAAAAAGCTGTGTGTCCCCTCACCGACAGGGAAGGTGTGCATCCACCGCCGCCGGTTGGAGGTGAGCTTCATGGGCATTCTGGACGGGGTGAAGGGGTTTATGAGGGCTCTCTGAGGGGTGTAACCTCCTGGACGGATGTGCAAAGTGGACTCAGCGCTTCCCACTGTGAACCTGCCCGGGGCACTGGAGTCCCGCTGAGAGTCCATCATCTTCTCCAACAACTCTGAACATCAGAAAAACAAAATAAGACAAGACGAATGGAATGGAGAAGGAGAAAGTGTTAGCATTTTCTTTAAAAGCCACAAGAATCCTTTGACAAAAACTGTATTTTATATTCACAGAATAACTCAGACAAACTAACCAACCGAGGCAGCAGCAGACCAGCAACTCATGTGTAAAATTCCTGTTTTTGTCAAAGGAGTCTCGTGGCTTCGAAGAAAGCATAGATAACGACTTCAGTTCCCAGTTGGAAATGGCTGTCTGAAGGCAAGATAAAGAGGCGAAGACATTCTAAATATAGCATACACTTAAACTGCCATCGATTTTCTAGGTGGCTAAAATACGTTTTGCTGCTGCCCCCGTCCACAGCAGAACATTGCTTTTCTCCAATGCTGGTACTCCTGTCTGTTTCTACAAACTGGGGCGAGCCAACTGACTGTGGATAAGTACCTCATTCAACCACACTTCCAAACATCCTAACTATCCCTTTAAGATCTGGAGGAGGTACCTCTGGTGCTGGTGTATCCGAGGGAGCTGCTGACTTCATACTGGGCGGGAGGCATGCGGGGTATGAGCAGCATGTTGGACACGGGGCCCAGACTATCATCAGAGGCCAGGCTGCCTCCAGAGCGAACGGGAGGGGACACGCCTATGCCTGCACTGACGTCCACCGAGCCCCAGCTCTTCCTCACACTCGTCTCTTTGTCTCGACCCATCCTGAAAGACACAGTCAATAGTCAAGTCAAGTAACTTTGAGTTGTATCTCGCCAAATCACAACTCGTAAATTTACGGTGACCCAACATTCTCCCACAAGCAAGCACTTTGGTGCGACGGCAGCAAGGAAAAACTCCCCTTTAACAGGAAGAAACCTCGGGCAGGACCAGGCTCCCAGTGGGCGCCCATGTGCCTTGACAGGTTCAACGGACTACTGTTCAACGGGGAGGAAGGTTCACAATGTCTGCTAGAAAGGATAGCTCTGTCCTCCGTGTTTAATGGAGCATAGTTTTTCTCATCTACGTGTGAGCTACAGAGACATTTAAAGTAAGCATGCAAGATTTTGAACAGGATTAAGGATTATTTGAGCCCTTAATGTACTTGTCCTGGCCCTGAATCTTTAACTTTTTGCTGCTTTGTTTTTCTAAGTGTGCTATTTGTGTTTTATGTGATGCTTGTGTGAAACATTTAAGCTAGGAACCCATTAGAAATGACATTCAAATTCTCAATGGAGTTATTCTGGTTAAATAGAGGATAAATACATTTTTCAAGTAGTTTAGTTTAGTTCAATTCAATTCAATTCATTTTTGTATTGACCAAAATCACAAATTTGCCTCAGAGGGCTTTACAATCTGTACACATACGACATCCTCTGTCTCAGGTTGTGTCATTGGAACAGAAAAAATCCTTTTAATGGAGAGGAAAGAGGAAGAGACCTTAGGGAGAGCAACAGAGGAGGGATCATTCTATCAGGATGGACAGAAGTGCAATAGACGTCATGTGTACAGAATTTAGTGTTGTGCAAGCAGTTAGCTACCTGAAGTTGGTGCTCCTCTGAATCAATGAAGGACCGGGCAGTCTGAACACCTGAGCATCATAGGCGTCGTAGTCCACCTGAATAGGCAGGCTGTTTTCAGAGTCCTTTGGCGCACAGAGAGCTGGAAGACGATTAGGATTATTAGGATTCATCCTCTGGGCTCCATAAATATCTGTACCATATTTCATTCCAAATGTTGTGAAGACATTTCACAAAAATCCAAGAATGTCACACAATAACAAAAACAAACTAACAAGGCAGCAGTAGACCAGCAACTCCTGTGTTCTACGGGGCGAAATTACTGTCAAATCGAGTCTTGTGGCTTTGAAGAGAGCATAGATGGAAATAAAAAATTCAGCTGGAAATGTATGTCTGACAGCAAGGTAAAGCGGTGAAAATATTCTAAATATAGCATACACGTAAATTCATTTTTTAATTTCTTTAGATGTCTAAAATTTGTTTTGCTGCTGCCCCTGCCCACAGCAGGACATTGCTTTGCTCCCATGCTGGTACACCGGTCTGTTTTTTGACGCTGTCGGTGATATCTTTGGCATATTTCATGGCAATCCTTACAAATATTGTAAAGCCATCCCACTAAAATCCAACGCTTACATTCATTTATGTCTGTGCAAAGTCTTATTCAATCCAGTGGTTTGTGTAGTCTACACCAAAGTGGTCAAACGACTGACTGACAAACCGAAATTGCCATCCATAGCATGCTTAAAAATAAAGTCATTGTCGAATTCATGATTCAAGAAATTAGAAAGCACTCTGGTACCCCTTATTCAACCAAAATGGAAGAGTTCCGTTCTGGCCTGCACACCTAATGCACACCAAATTTTGAACAGTTCGAAGAATTTCGACCCAAGAAATAAATTAATTGGTTCGAAACCTGAAACGTTGGTTCACAGCATATATACAGTATATCTGTCACAGAACAAAAGCTTGCAGGTACTCAATGCCATTCGCAATCTTGCTACTACTGTTTACTTCCGTTGCATTGTACAACACCCTCCTTGTTGAGGGCATCCTTGATTACAATGGTTCGGCTCAAAACTGGTAGAAACAAACGCGGGCTGGTTCTCTAGATATCACAAAGGTTCCAAAAATCCTGAATGGAACCTCATCAAGAAGCTAATTTGGTGGAAAAGGGGTGAGAGAGATAAAGGGTCACAACTTACTGTGTTCCTTGCTGCTCTTGAATTTCTCAGCATGAAGCTAGAAGAAAAGTCATTGTAATGAGATGTTAAAACGTACAAAAAATTCCTTTTCAATTTTAAGTCAAACAATAGTGCTACAGTAAAACTGTGAATGCACCTTGCGGCCAGCCAGTTTGATTCGAGGGGTGAAGGAACTGCAAGAGTTCTGACTTTTGGAGGTGTAGAAGCTGCAGGCGTGAAAGACAAAGCAGCAAGCAAGATATAAAATCCATCAATTTTACCGTTGCAGAAAAATGTAATTATATTCATCGTTCTTGTTGTTATCTCTGCCAGCAGAATCATGTGATCGGGCATGTGTGTGTGTGTGTGCATCGCTGTGTCTGTCCACGGCTTATCTCACTTTCTGCTGCAGCAAACTATAATATTTTGGGTCCCCAGTTATGGCTGCATGCTCAAGGGTCACTCGTAATTGTGTTGACTTCCACTTTCTCAAAAGAAACTGTATTACCTGTTTTATACAGTCATTGACTGCCTGCTGACTACTCACTCACTACCCGATAGTGATGGCTGAGTGCATCATAGTAAGTGGAAAACTGTTTGCGGTGTGTTTGGCTAACTGCTAACTCAACTACCATATACACAGTGCTGCGTGCCTCTCGGCTGCCGCTCTGCGTCTTACTTTGATTGTTTTGGATGGTGTTTTTGGCTAATAGCTAACAGCTAACAGAACTACCAGTACACACACTGCAGTTCCCCCAACGCAACTCAGCGGCTGCTATGCAGGCAGACAGCTTGGTGAATTAAATTTTGTTTTTGGCAAGATTGTATGACGTGTCTTATTCGACAACTTTGAACCGATTGCCTGCATACATCACCACTTGTTTCTGAATTTGAATGAAGTGTGTTTTACAATGCCTTACAGCCAGAGGTGTCCAGACGGAGAGTTATCCAATTGTGGTTTGTATTCATTCAATTACATAAAACAGCATTGGTTGTTACAGAACACACCTGGCAGAGATCTGCCTTCTACTGAGTGCAACATTCTAGTTTTACCTGTGGTTGATCCAGTGAGGAAGGTTATAGTCGTCTCCCACACGAGAGTCTCCAGGTGTCACCCTGTTGTGCAGCTACAGAGGGTAATGACCATCAGAAACCAGGTATATGGCCTAATGCACCCAAAGAGACTTACACTCTGAATGTGTTACCTTGAATAAGGGTACTGCGTGCAATGGCTGCTCCCCCATGCACACCAAGTCTACCCCAATACCTAAAGAGAGAAACAATATGTGTCAACACACCATGTTAACTTCATGTAATGAACCTTTAATTCTCGGTCAAACAGATCTGGTCAGTTTGAAGTTCCATTTTCACACTGACCGTTGTCAATCATACGCTGTTTGGTGAGAATCATAAGCAGACGGTCAACTTCAAACACTCCCACCCCGGGTGTGATGACCACTGACATCTGGCCGGTGCGGTCAAAGTTACGGTTGATGTAGTGCTTGTCAAACACTGTGGGAGACAAAATGATTGACAGCTTCTCTTCTTGTGTTTTTTAGTGCGTGACCTGCGAAAGACTAACTTTTGATATGAAAGGACAGGTTGACAATTTCACAAGCCAATATGTTCCAAAGTGTTTTCATTGCATAATCCCCTCTATCTGAGACTAACCATCCACTGCAGATCAACAAGGAAGCACTGACTGGGCAAATAACAACTTTTTTCTCAAGGACTTTTACAGGACATTTTCAGTGACAATCTACTAATACTAACACTAATGTGTTCCTTGCAATGGAAGCCTGATTTAAAAGAAGTGCAGTCTCTAGCACAATGCTAGCAAGGTAAAAATTACCATTAGCCAGTATTTAATGTCTGTTTCAGGCTGTTGTTTGGATCACGGCTTCCCATTCATCATCATCCAACTCCACAACATAACCTAAACACTGTGGTCCATAAACTACCATTTGAACGTTAATATGATCTTAAACATAACTTAACCCTTTCAGATGGTAATGTTATCCGTTTTGGGGAGCTCTGATAGCAAGCAAAACAGGAGAATGTTGAAATAATTCATCAGGACATAAAAAGATTTTCCAGGTCATTCTACTTTTCAATGACAACAAATACGACATTTATTTGACTTTTGGTACCTAAATAAACCTGCTATAATTCAAATCATTTTTTTTTTCTTTCTGAGAGCAGTTCTATTCCGGTATTAGTCTACTTACCATTGAAGGAAAGGTTAATGGCCTCCAGGTAGTTTCCTTGAGCAGCAGTTGAGTTGTAACCAATAGGAAAACCATCTGGCATAAATAAACACCAGACACAACAGGCAAGATTTGAATTTACAAAACACACCTGACCAAGAGATCTATTCATCAGCCAAACACTCGACTCCTTCACTACCTGCTTCTTTCAGCCGCACCAGGACAGGATACTGAATGAAGAGCTTCTTGATAGTGACCAGTAATGATGTCCACTCATCCCGTCTCTCATTCTGAGCCACAACCCTGATCACAAAACAGTTAAAGGGATAGTTTGGATATTCAGAGGCAGGGTTCTATGAGGTAGTGTTGTACCTACAGTAGATGTAGGGTGGCACAGTTTTAAAGGGCTAGTTTGGATTCCCCAAAGTCACGCAATGACAAAAACAAACTAATAGAGGCAGCGGAATACCAGCAACTCCCATGTTCTGTGACATAAAATGACTGTTTTTGTCAAAGGAGTCCAGTGGCTTTGAAGAGAGCATAGGTGCATATAACAGCTTCTGTTCCCCGTCAGAAAGGGCTGGAGGGCAAGGAAAAGTGGTGAAAATATTTTCATTTAGCGTACACGGATATAGATATTTTCTCGGTGTCTAAAAAACGTCCACAGCAGTATATTACTTTGCATCCGTGCTGGTACTCCTGTCTGTTTCTATAAACTGAGGGTGAGCCGACCACCATCTACTGTCGGTAAGTACCGTCAAAAAAGACTTCTGTCCTCCAGACAGTAATTCAGATTAACCTACGGTTAGATATCAAATTAAAAGCTATGAACAGCAACTATAGTTACCTGTAAAAGTCTTCATAAAAACGTCCCTCATGATCCTGTCTGATGGACCCTCTCAGAATCTCAGGAAATTCATCTGAGGAAAATGATTTTTGTATTAATGATGCATGTATCAATTTGCATCACAACTCACTGTGAAAACATAGGAAACAGACTCACCAATAGTTTTGGCATTGTAGAATGTACGGGAGAAAAGTACAACTGTCACCTCATGACTGCAGTTCTTCTCCTGTTTTAACATTAAAAACACTGTTTTGGTTTTATATCTTTTACAACAAAAGCCACCCCCGCCCCAAAAAAAAAAAATCACAAACCTTCCACTTGGTGAAAAGGTCAGACAGGAAACAATTTACAGCCTTCTCAAAGTAGAGATCACCTGAGAGCAAAACATTCACATAAGACATTCTCAAGAGAGCAAACACAACCATGCTCACAAAGTGGGAGGAACAAATCAGAGTGGGCCAACTCACCATAGATGTCAAAGTCCCACATCTCACAGCTCATCTGGATAAAGATGTACACCATTGCAGATGTGGATCTGAACACCACCTGTGTCACAAGAAATGAATGATGAATAACATGAATAAATACGAGAGTGACCATTTGATAGCAACCTTTAAAAGCCAAAGGGAGTCAGGTCCACATGCTCATGGGAAAAGTTCACATATGATCCTTGAATATCGGTAATATATGTACTTGTGGTAAAAAGGAGGTATGCAGTTCAAACACACATGATGTGATGAATGCAGCAGAAGTTGTGCTGCACTACAATATATGGACAAAAAAGAGAAATACTGCTTGTCCGGATTATTATGCGTCATTGTATTTCAAGTTGTGGTTATAATTAGGGATGCAGCGATACTGATATCAGGGCAATACTGACTCTGAAAGTGGGGTTGAACTATATACATTCATTAGTGGACTGTCAATTCCGGTTCAAGTTTTGCTTCATTTGTTGCTGCATTGAAACGTTTACACTTGATCTGTAATTCCTGTTCATTTGAAAGTTTAAAGTCCCTGCTACGCTCACACTACAGTGTGAGCGTAGCAGAGCCTTAGTGCTCAATTCAGATTTTTTGTTCAGATCCAATTTTTTTCCTTGGCTGTTCACATTATTTTTTTAAAATGTGGCCAATATCAGATTCCTGAACTGACCCGCGTGCACAAAAGAACAACAACAAAGACTTGGATCAACAGCTGCTACTCTTGTGAGTGGATGTGAAGCCAGAAGTGGTGGGATCGTGTCCAGGTTTGTATTCACAGAGTGAATTCTGATTTAGAGTGATGGAAAGGTCGCACGGTTCAGACTTCTCGTTGCATAGAATCAGACCTGTATCTGATTTAGGACCACATATAGAAGTGGCCCATATCAGAGGTGAAGAGATCAGATTCCATGTGACATGCACAAAAACAAATCTGATTCAGGCCTTCAGTCTGAATGTAGCCTAGTAACAATACAATTCTGTGGTAAACTTTTAACTAACACTAAGGTCCAATAGCATTGTTGTATGAAAACTTCAATTACATGTGTTGCTGCACTGTCGGTTCATTTCAGCATCTGCTTCCAACACTGCTCTTACCCTAGTTTCTTCACTGATGTACCCACAGGTCACTTTCTCTCCCTTCATCCAGAGTTCACTGGCCTGGGCTCTGGAGAATGAAAAAATAACATTATGAGTATGCAAAAAGCAAAGGACAGCTGACATTTAAACAACGTCCTCATCTATGGAAATGTACACTTTCTTTTCTAAGTTCCAGCAGCATAACTGGGCCCTTTGTGTGCTTTTTTAACCTTTCCACATAATGTATGTTGCTGCGCAGTCATAGAAAAAGGTGCGTACGTGTTGATTTATTCCACATTCAAGTCATTCTAAATGCATTTCTGCAAATGGAGTGTAGAGAATAGAATGTATGCTTAGTACCTGATTCCTGCAAACTCCACTTTCTGCGTCACATAAGCACATGTGCTCACCTGGAATAAAGATTGTAACAGTTGAATCCTCAATAACTGTATTGTTACACATTATACGCAGACACATAAACCTCCACATATCCTACCAGACTCTTCTTTAGTCTCCACATGTCTCCTCTGCCGATGTACTGGTCCTTGAACGTCAGCTCCACCAGGTCCAGAGTTACATCCTGCAAGGAAAAATGAAGCTATGAGAGATTCTGTTCAACTGGCAAATGGTGACGATGCAAAAGGGTCATAGCGAACATACCTTTGGGTCGACAATGGTAACAATGACATCCTGGTAGGCACGCAGCTTGAAGGCTTGTGCTACAGTCTGGTCCACACTGATTGTCTCTAGATAAGAACAAAATATCCATCATGAGTAGTGAACAGGCAAGGCAACCATCACAAACCTTTGCATTAAATAGTGAAAGGACTTCATATAGTAACAGAACATTTGCAATCAATGGATATTTGTCGATTAAGCTGTATATTATAAGAGGACCAATGATCATTATTGACTAATCTGCTAATTATATTCTCAATTAAGTTTTGGTCAATAAAATCAGAGAAGAGAATGAAAAATGCCCATTACGGTTTCCTTAAGCCCAAAGTGAGGTCTTCAGATTGCTTGTTTTTGTTTGTACCACCCCCCCCCCATCTGAGTATCTCCACCCACGGCTTGAGAATTACCTTTCCAAAAGTGAATCATATTTGTCTCGCAAGCCAATCAGAGCAGACTAAGCTATTTTTGGGAGGGGGACTTAAAGAGACAGGCACTTAAACGGAGTGTTTCCAACAGAGTGAATACAGGTATATTCAGACAGACATTATGAGAGAAATATTGTGTTTTTTGGACATTTAAGCATGTAAACATGTTCTAGTAGAAACCCAAAATACAAGTATGAACCGGTAAATGAGCATAATATGTATATATATATACATATATACATATATACCTATATATATCTCCTTTAATCGCCAATCAAAAGTCGCTTCATTCTCTGCAATCTCAGAACCCATGGGCTCACGGTCTGTCAACAGGGAAGCTTCTGGGGACTATAGTCTATTTCAGGGCTTCCAGTGTAGCCAGCGCATATCCAGGCCAAGACTTCCTTTTCCATGTGCTGCTCGTTGTTTACAGTCGGATTAGCAACTGGAGATGAAGTTGGGGCATGATGTGTACGGCCAGATTGTTTCACAAGTAGCCAGTGTACAAGCAAATAAAAAGCTGAATCGTCATCAGACGATAGCCGGTGGGTTCAGAGTTTACATTTTGGGCCAATGCTTTCTTCCTCTTTTGCTCTCCACACAGGCTGTTTGCCTGTATTTAACTAAAGCCTGCTCGAATATGATTGGTCAATACAACTTTGACTAAAAATGTAAACCAGATGCTTCCGATACCTAAATCGTGTCCCATTGCCTGTTTGTAGAGATAACATTTTCTGTACTATGTTTATTGTTTCAGCTCTATACTCTATTGTTGTTATATTAATTCTTAATGTTTGAATGAATTTATTATTATTAGATTAATTATAACTAGCCTAATTTAATTCTTGGAATATAGCTAACATAATGAATTTACCTTTCTGAAGGTCCTCTTTCAGGCTCTTCACCTGCAGCAGGAGAGGACTGGGGATTTCCACAGAGACAATAGCAGACTATAGGCTCAGCAGGTAACAGTATGTGATGGACAGAAAGCTCCGAAGCTCACCTGTATTCATCGGTGGGGTGTGCGATCTCGATTATATCCCTCAGACTGACTTGAGGGAAAACTTTTGGGTTGACAACCAACTCATCATCTGCTCCAAGGACAAGTTAATTTGTAAGACAATCTCATTGAAATGAACGCTTTCATAAGAGAAACAATAATGTGCATGAATTCCAAGATATTGCTTACCACTTCCACCAAAACCTTTCTTGTGCAGCACGAGCTTGTATGACTTATTGGTCTTCATCGTGAACCAGCTGCGGATTTACATCGGTAGTTAATGTGGGACTTCTCAAAGTGGCAAACTTGCACGTGAGCTTTGGTACGTATTTGTTCTCTATTATCGTCGTGCCATTCCTACACTCCAGGCTGCGATACACTCCACGTGATTCATTTAATACACTAGTCTTCTACACAGCAGTGTAGGTAACTTTGGATGTTTAAGTAGAAAGTAGTGAGCTAGGCTAACTAATCCGAAAGTTACATTTTGACTGAAAGTAAGTTGTGAAACTGAAGTAACGTTCCTTAAGCTTCCTGTTGAGCCAGACTAATAATGAACGTTCTCTCTATCACACAGACCTACAATACATTCAAGAGGCATAACGCTTTACTTATTACAAACGTAATACTAAATAATATATGGGTAGGAACAGGTGAACACACAGAATAAATACAGCAGTACCTTATCAGTCTGTCCTCAACAACTCAAACTCCTAGCAGCTCTCACCGTCATGGGATGTTGACATAATGCTAGCCTCGCATGTGTCGAATTTGGGGACAATTTACAGCTACTGGAATAAATGAACTAACACCAGACCCAACGGTTCAATACCTAATTGCAATGAAAATACATCCATATAGTTGAAATAAGCTCGAGCCACTGTTTTGAGGAGGAAATAGAAAGCGGTTTGCTAGCCAGCGTTAACTAACCTAGCTCACACTTGCCCCGTACTTCCGCCAAAACATGGACATGTGTGATGTGATTGGTTGGAGGCAGGTCAGAGAGTATTTGCGAAGTAAGAGGCTTCACTCCTCTTATTTCTATCTTCACTTATTTTGAAAGCATGTTTTATTTCTGTTTTATCCAGAATACCTACGAATTCCCCCAAATTCCACACAATTTATTTAAATTGTATATATGTACTTGAATTCCTGGTCATACTTCAGTTGAGATCAAGCATAAACCACTACAATGTGATGCAAATATTTCATTCAAGCCTTTGTACACATTCAGTGTTTTTCAGTAGATAAGAAAGTCCTAATCATTAAGGATACATTAGGTATTTTGCTTGTAAATCTTGCATAACCATTAGTTATCTCGAATTTTATCATGAGAAGAAGAACAGTTCAGACAGCTGATAAACCACTTTATTGGGCTTTGACAGCAATACTGGTTCCATAAAAGCACAGCTGCTATTACTTTAAGAAATTACATTATAATGTCGTGACCATTATATATGTAGAGTTAAGAGTAGAGTCATTTACTCTATTATTACTTGAAAGTAAACATTAAGATTTGGTTTCCTTGGTCACAGAGTCCAGTCCATAAACATATTCATATATGAGACACATTCCACAACAATACTGTATTTAAAAAAACAAACAACAGCAAAAAAGAATCAAAAGCATCCACAAGGGTTTCACCAGGGTCCATATTGGCCTGTCCCAAATGAGTCTGGTCCAGGCACTACTGTCCACCGCTGATATGATGGACATAGCGGCGTATACTTCACAGATATTGCAGAAGTGACCAATAATACATGAGAAGACAGTAAACTGAATCGATTTTAATGAGACACACTGATTTGTCTGATTTGTTATTGGCATGGTAAAGTATTTGATCTTGGGTTTCCCATGGTCTAAATTCTGTATTAAATATTGACAGCTATTCCATGAAAATGGTCAAATACATAATATTTTGTATCAGCAAAAAGAGCTCATTTTTGTCAGCTTCAATCCTAAAACAGCTGGCTTTTAGGAGCGTATACTGCTTGAACCCTTTTCAATAGAATGCATGGCAGTTTTGATGACTTTGACGGAGAGAAATCTAGTGAAACATGTCCTAAGGCACATTGGAACATGATCAGTCACTTTCATTTCTGCAGCTGAAGCTCAAACAGAGCCTCTGTCTGGTTCCGCTCTCCTTAACTTTGAGAGTTCCTATTTTCATCAGCAGCAGCCTCTCTTCATATCTTGGGGCGAGGCCTTCTCTAGGTTTGCACAATCTGATCCTGTTGAGACAAAGATCGACGGTAGATTTATATGCCCTCGCCTCGAGGCTTTCATTATTAACATATCTGCTTGTTGGGAGTCAAGTCATTACTTACTGATACTACCTCCATGTCCGATGCTAGCAGGAAGCCCATTCTCCATGGCCTTCAGTACACACTTCTCAAAGGCCAAAGCTGCCACCCTGAAGAAAAACCCCTGCACATTCTCCCCTGGAAATAAGAACAATTAACAGTTTCTCATTGTATTCATGTTGCCTTTTCTACCACACAGCACTGACAAGTCTGAGCTCTTGGGTTTCGTACCCGTTTTAGCCGAAACAGCCCAAAACTCTGCATACATTTCTGTTGCTATCCTGATGGCATCCTTTTCTGTCCTCTGTCTTTCATCTAAAGGCTTAAGAACAAGAGAATTGGGTACTAGAAGAAAATTGTGTTTGTTAAAATCTACAAAATATACAAATAATATAAAATGTATTTACCAGCAGGTCATTCTTAGTTCCAACCAAGAAGATGAAACAGGAGTCAGGCTCATTTTCTCTCATGGCCTCCTCCAACCATTGGCTATGAAAACAAAACAAGGTTGGGTAACACGTTCTATGATGGCCATGTCTATAATGCATTCTAAACACACGTATAATGTGTTATAGTCTGCTTATAGTACTGAATAATTATGGTGTCCGGGAAAAGACATGGTTTTCCAGGACATTTGACTCTTCTTTTCCATGTATTTTCCATGAATGAAAAATTGGCCAACTGTTTTCCAGGAGGCGTGAGAACCCTGTCCAATTGTTAATATAAAAATATATTTTATAGCCGCTGTAAAATTCACAAGACACTTATTCTATCCATCCATCTGCTGTCTTTTCCTGACTCGTCCTGTTGAGTGTTACGGTACAGTTACATTAGGCTGTTGTCCAGCAAAAATGCTCCACATCCGATCTGAAAAAAGTTGTGACGTCACAGTTCAGATGTGGGTAATAAATAAGAGTGATCACAAACTGTACATGTGATGTTGCAGTCTGTAGTCTGGTAAGAAAGTATTGGACTAAACAGGGTGATCCCACATAAATAAGATATTTCATTCCCAAACACAGGGCATTCATGTTTTTACAACTGTAGAATAAGCCCAATGATTATATATAGACGTACCGTGTATGATCCAGGGACTTAATGTCTGTCATGTCAAAGACTGTGATAATGACTGGAAAAGAAACAGGAAGTTTCAGCATTATTAGTTTACACCAGTTAAAATGTCAGCTGGTATCACCTAGCATCAGACCCACAACCATTTTTTTTTTTACTTCAGTTATTACAGAAACTTCTTACCCTGAGCACCTCTGTAATATGCAGAAGCGATGCACTTGAATTTTTCTTGCCCAGCAGTATCCCAGCTATTAAGAAAAGTCCAAATGAATGGCAGTACTCTAGAAATACATGTTTAGGGAAAAACAAATCTTATTTAAAATCTTACTTACATCTGAAGGGAGAAAGGTACTCCAGATACCTCAAACCTCTCAATTTCAAAGTCTACGCCTATGGTGGCCTTGTAGTCTCTTTCAAATACATCTTTACAAAACCTGAAAACAGCATAAACAAAGCAAGTTTTTATTTCTTCCTTTTGTTCATGGTTTTCATAACTCAGACACTCATACAGATCTGTCTATAATTGGTTCCTTTTTCTTCTTAATACCTTAGTGTCTTATTCATGCAACCAGTCAGTTCCAAGAAAGAAGTGTGATAGGGCTGGGCATCATTTAACAAGTTGCTTCAGTTAAGGGGTCACTTGGGAACCCCTCACCTGAAGAACTCGTCTGCTTTGTACAACTACATATATGCAGACAGCGTAACAGATCTGATTTTGACATCATAGTCTCAGGTATGCATGTTTTGTCTTGATCGGCTAATTGTTGATAAAGTACCTGTTAATGAGGCAGGTCTTCCCCACATTAAGGTCTCCAACAACCACCACTTTTGACATTCTCTGCCGGTCCCACCTTTGAAGAAGACAACAGATTTTTAACACGAGTAAGATGTAATTGGTTTTTCTGTGATGTTCAAGCTAAGAATGACGACTCAAAGCTGGAGACTCACGGCTGATGCCTAGCGGCTCTGTCTTTACAGGCCGCTTTAGCCTGAATGTCCCAATCTTTCATCAGCTGCAGAGAGGCATTGGGCGTGTAGCACTGAATAGAACAGGACCATATATCAGTAACATTTATTCAGCAAAAAGCCACTTAATACATGTTATAACAAGATTAAGTCACATATAAAGTTCTTCAGCTTGTCCTCATAGAAGAACCCTTATTAGTTCATGGTAAAACCTTTTATAAAGGTTCCACATGGAACCCTTTCAGAGGATTCTACCTTGAACCGTACTTAAAGGGTTATACATAGAACCATCAGTGAAAGGTTACACCCAGAACCCCCTATGGGAGGTTCCACAGAGAACCCATCTTTGGTGCAATGGTTCCACCCAGAACCCTCTCTGGAGGTTTTATCCAGAAACTTTCCACATTTTGAGGGTGCAAACAGGAACCCACGAGTCGGTCCCTGCATGGTTTTACTTTAACGGGTTAGCCTGGATCAATGGGAACCACGTCCAGCAGCATTGGGCATTGTAAGGCTCCTCATGAGGGTGTGTGGGCTGGTTTGTGGGCGTTCCCTTTCAACACCCATGCTTTCAACAATGATTGAGGAACCCTCTCTTTTGAAAAGGTTCTTTGGATGAAAAAGGTTCTTAATGGAACTCTTTTTACAAAGAACCCTTGGAAAACCCTTCCTTCAAAGGTCTTGCTGAATCTTTCATAATTCCGCACCAAAGGAAGAAAAATACAATCTTCTTGACAGTGCTAAGCTCTGAATGGAACTGTTTGTTCTATGTCTGCAAACTAACTTCTGCAAAAATAGGGGCAAGCATTTATATATCCTATTACAGTAATACCTTGTGTTTCAAGATTCAGTATCTTTGATTTTAGACTTCATGACCTTTTTAATGCCATGGATGAAGATAAGATCATGTTCATCATTACAAAATCTAAAAGACAGCAATTAGAACATGAGTATAGGCAAAATAACTGCACAAACAAGTAGCCATGACATTTTTAAGGACTTCTAAAACAGAGTTTATGATATACTATATTAAACTTGTTCAAAACCATTTGAGACATGAATCTTAACAACACAATTGAAGACATTCAGGAATAGACCTGAATGTTAATTCTATAATCTATAATCGAAAATATTGGATAGAACCACTAGCAGGGTTTCTCAGGCAAACAAGGATTGACATTTGCAGAGAGAACCTGTGAACTGACCCCATTAGAAGACATTATTGAACATTCCTAATGTCTTATTTTGAGAAGATTTACAGGGCAGAAGGATGTGCTGACTGAGTCTGTGATTGGGTAGCTGACTGCAACAGCCTGTACTTTCTGAGTGCTGTAATCTGACACTAACGTCACTCTCAGAGAAAGTAAAAAGTCACACGTTTCCAATCAAATGAACATCTCCTAGACTGCTGCTTTTACCGTTTTAACCACAGTGATCCCACAGTAAAAGACAGGCGTTTTCTTGGAACTGGATTAAACTGGAGCAGACATTATTGGAAATAAAAACAGGACATACCTTTGGGAATTCCCAGATGACCCTGTCTCTGCTGATGGGTGGTGGGAAGGGAATCATCCCATTCCTGTTACCCTGCATGACAACCTGTGAG